CAAATGAATGAATGTACTCTCTTTCTTTGTATAGTTAATGTTCCAACAATTGGTATGACAATCTTACAAAACTAATGAAATTTATATCCACACACATAAATCTGGCTCTGCTTTTATGAACACCCTTGTTTATCTGAAAAATGTCCATACCAGAACAGTGCTCTGCATCTGATCCCTGGAGTAAATTCAAATAGACAGTAATTAATTTGGTAGGTGCTGTTTATTGAATGCTTTTAATACTTGATAAGTTTATGTTTGTAACACAATGCTGCAGATAAGTGGAAAAGGTCACAATGATTTTGGGATGGGATGAAACTGTCTACACAAAATGAGTCCAGTTTATTGTTATATATTAACATGTCAAATTAGAGAGACAAGGTGGGTGAAGTGATATCTTTGTTTCAGATCAACTTCTGTTGGTGAGAGAGAGAAGCTTTTGAGTGACACAGAGGTCTTCTTTAGAGATTATCTTTTTCTCCTGTCCAATAAAAGATGTTACCTAACCCACCTTGTCTTGCTAATACTCTGGGACTGACATGGCTACAACAAAACAACACTCCAAATTACAATGTAAGCAGTAGTTGAGATAGACAAACTGGGTTTGGTATAAATAAACATGTAAGAAACATTACTGGCAGTTGTCTATATATTTGTGATTAATAATGATGGCTTAGAATCATGACGAATGACATAAAAAAAGAGGAGAATGTCAGTATTGCTTGTCCCTGTTTCCTGTACCAGAGAACCATGTTGTGACCCAGAGGGATTCATTCCAGGGACAGAGAAATGGCTTTTCTAAACAAGGGTTGTAAATTTTCTCTTGATACTGCTGCTGGCTCTTCCTAGCAAACAGTGGTGTATGATAATGAAAATTGGCATACATTAGGATTGATTTTGGTCCTTGAATAATTATGAAAGTAGACACGTTTACAAAATATGCTAGATTTTCTGTTATCTCACTATGAACCCACTGAAGCCCAGTGAGGTCTGAGCTTATACTTTCTGAGGGTACGTCTACACTACAGTGCTAGTTCGAACTAACTTAGTTCGAATTAGTTAATTCGAACTAAGCTAGTTCGAACTAACGCATCTAGAACTAAAAACTAGTTCGAACTAGCGTTTTGCAAGTTCGAACTAGCAAGTCCACATTGAGTGGACTCTGAACAGAGCTTAAGGCTGGCCGGAAGCAGTGCCGGCAGGGCATAAAAGGAGGACTTAGAGCATGGAGATGCTGTCTCAGGCTAGCCGAGGGCTGCGCTTAAAGGGTCCCGACCCCCACCCCGGACACACAGTTCTAAGGGGTGCCCCGCTTGCAAAGAAGTTCTGGCTTGGAGTGCCCTGAGTGCCCACACTGGGCACATCACACCACTCGGCCATCAGCCCGGCTGCACTTGCCGCAGGCTGCCATCTGGGGAGAGGGAGTAATTGGGGGGCTGCAGGAGAGCTTCCACCCCCAGAAGCCCGCAGAGCCAGCCCAGTCCTCCCCATCGGGGGCTCATACCCCATTCCTCCCTCACCTCCTTCCACTTACCCTTCCCTAGCCCCCCTTCTTATTGATGTACAAAATAAAGATAACGTTTCTTCCAACATTGACTCTGTCTTTATTGAAAAAAAACTGGGGGAGACTGGGAAAAGGAGGTGGGAGAGGGGAAGAGAAAGGCTGGGAGAGGGGAGGGCAACTAACATGATCAGGGGTTGGGAACAGGTCCCAGATGAAGAGAGGCTACAGAGACTGGGACTGTTCAGCTTAGAAAAGAGGAGACGGAGGGGGGACAGGATAGAGGTCTCTAAAAGCAGGGGTTGGGTGGAGAGGGTGCATTCAGAAAAGTTCTTCATGAGTTCCCATAAAGAAGGACTAGAGGACACCAAAGGAAAGGAATGGGTAGCAGGCTTGAAACTAGTAAGAGAAAGTTGTTCTTCCCAAAGCAAATAGTTAACCTGTGGAACTCCTTGCTGCAGGAGGCTGTGAAGGCTACAACTAGAACAGAGTTTAAAGGGAAGTGAGATCAAGTCATGGAGGTTGGGTCCATGGAGTCCTATTAGCCAGAGGGTAGGAGTGGTGTCCCTGCCCAAAGTTTGTGGAAGGCTGGAGAGGGATGGCACGAGACAAATGGCTTGATCACTGTCTTCGGTCCATCCCCTCCAGGGTCCCTAGGGTTGGCCGCTGTTGGCAGACAGGCTACTGGGCTAGATGGACCTTTGGTCTGACCCAGGACGGCCATTGTAAGCTCAGGGCTCAGGGTCGGGGGTCTCAGTGGACCCCCTTGATTTTCATGCACACCTGGTCCTGGGTGGCCAGGCTGGCAGCCCTCCTGCCCTAGACGGCCACTTTCCTGTGCCTAGTGCAGAGATCGCTGGCAGGCTTGCACCTGGCACGGGCACCGTAGCCAGCCCGTGCCCCTTTAAGGGGTCCGGGGCCGGGAGGGGGGCATAGAGTTTCCCTGGTGTTGGCCAGAGTGGCCACCAGGGAAACCTGGGAAGCCTTAGCCTCCCCCTAGTTCGAACTAAAGGGCTACACAGCCCTTAGTTCGAACTAGCTAGTTCGAACTAGGCGTTAGTCGGCTTGCACCTGGCACGGGCACCGTAGCCAGCCCGTGCCCCTTTAAGGGGTCCGGGGCCGGGAGGGGGGCATAGAGTTTCCCTGGTGTTGGCCAGAGTGGCCACCAGGGAAACCTGGGAAGCCTTAGCCTCCCCCTAGTTCGAACTAAAGGGCTACACAGCCCTTAGTTCGAACTAGCTAGTTCGAACTAGGCGTTAGTCCTCGTAAAATGAGGTTTACCTAGTTCGAACTAAGCGCTCCGCTAGTTCGATTCAAATTCGAACTAGCGGAGCGCTAGTGTAGCACCTATTAAAGTTAGTTCGAACTAACGTCCGTTAGTTCGAACTAACTTTGTAGTGTAGACATACCCTGAAGGACCTGATACTTCTCTGAATGAAAGTGGCAGCAGGATAAGAAGCCACACATAAAATATCAATCAAAGGTTGATTTTCCACTATAATGCACCTTGGATAATCATTTATTTCTAGGAAAAGTCAGTGTAAAGGAAGTTTTAGCCACTACCATTCTGATATTGTGCTTTAATTTGGTGCAGATGTAAGTGACTGTTCTCCACTCTTTGGAGTGGTTCATGACAATGAGTGCCAAACTCTAGGCAGACTGTCAAAAAGCCAGGCAGACATACCAAACTGGTGGTATGTTCTATAATCACATTTCACCAACCAATAACAAATGGGAGCTTCTGAAGCATTATAACAGTCTTTCAGTGGAGAGACAAACAGTCCACTCTTGGGCACTCCAATCTATCTTGCCACACAAAGAAGCTGGATTTAGGTATGTCTTTTAGCTTTTAGCTACAAAACTGTGGCACCATAGTTGTATCTCTAAAATTAGGCAGTATAAGCACTGTTTGCTGGCATGTTTGCTTTCATCCCTTAGAAGCAGTGTTTGCTTTGTCCACAGCAGAGCATGCTTGCTGACAAAGCACTGTCTATACAACAGGTTGAAACTCTTTAGTAAATCAGCCGCTTTTCCAGATACATTTACAGTAAAGTACAAACATTTCTTTTGCTACATTTTTCCTACTCTTAATCAAGTAAATCAGCAGTATACAGAATTTGGTAATTAGCTATTGGACCATTACTTTTTAAAAAATAGCAATATTAGAAAAAGTCATATTGCCAAAACTGGAGTTATTAACCCCATTCATCAACAACATGACCAATGTATTCTAATTCTCTGCTTCCTTGGAATTACAAACAAGAAATTCTTCTCTTTGCCTCATGCCTCATCCATGCCAATCTAGACGCTCTGTCCTACGAATGCTTTTAATGGAAAAACTTTTCCGTTAAAATCATGTGCGAAAAATCATGCCAGTCTAGACGTAGCCCTGGAGTTATTTAGGAGCTTTCTAGAGCAAAGGGAGTCAGGCTAATTTGACCACCTGGGGCCAATCAAGATCCAGTTAAGACTGGTTTTAAAAGGGTTCCTCTTTTAGTTAAGTTGGTGAATTTATAGTATTTATTCTAAGATTTTTAATAGACCGTGTTAATAATGAATTTACAGTATTTATTATATTTATTCTATGGCTTCTAGTAAAACGTGTCAGAGATATAAGGATGGGAATGGCAAGGGGAATAGTCTCTAATCTTAAAATATCCAGCTACAGTAATTAAATAACAGTGATAACTACAAACTCTTATGTACTACCCCAAAACAACTTCAACACTAAGCTTATACAACAGGAAAAAATCAAATCATACATACCAACTTACACAGCGCACGGAACATTTCACAGATATTGGTTCGGTTGCGAAGGCCTTGGTTATGCCTGAGAGTTGGGGGAGGTGGCTGATCGGTTGATCAGGCCGGCAGCGCTTTGGAAGTATACAAGAAGGCACACGCACGGTGGTACGTGTGTTGCGAAGACCTCCTAGAGCGAACTGTGCCATGGGTATTTATCCCCAAATCTGCTTATGGCTTTCCTGCGCTTGTATATTACCATATATGGCCCAATGGTCACCAAGTGGGGGGGTCGGTGTCCCAGGGGTTGGGCCGAAACTGTGCAGGTTTCATGCGACCAGGTAAGCCCCGCAGTTCTCACGCCAAGGTGACGGGTGGGAGAGTCAGGCTATTTTCCCCTTTTCACACCTTCCCCTTTTCTAAAGGCAATGGTATGCAGGAAGGGTGTGGCCGGTTTCTCTCAAGGAGTCAAGAGCGGCCTGGCCAAACTTTTTTACTAAGAGGCAGTTTCTTTTCTCTAACACCAGTCTAGACATAGCCCATATGTTGCTGGACCACAGAGTGCTGGACTAAAGACCTGTACTATTTGCCATGGCAAAGCTTTTGTCATTCGGAGGGATGTGTTTTAAGCACCTGTGAACAACACAAAATATGTTGCTCAATTGCCAGTGTAGACAAAGCCTTAGTGATAAATTGTTATTTACATCAAAGAGCACAAAATATTCAGATTGCTCCAACATCCAAAAGACTAGTAACTTACCTCAGATCAATCTGTACCATAGATTTCACACCAAAAACAACACTGGCAGCCAACCCGATAGCTGGAGGACTTATTAACTAGGAAAAAGAAATGAGAGAATTAGTTACAGACTATAGTTCCAAAGTATGACAGAGATGTAGTAATCTGTTAACTGTATGGGGATTTTTTTAGGTTGACCCTGGAGATCTCTGCTTTTGTTTCTTAGGTTGTGCCTTATGAGAATTCAAACAGCAAATAGATTACTATTTCTTCTTGTGAGAATTTTTATGTGCCCCTTTCCCAGAATTCAAATCAATGAGGTGAGTGCTTCTGCACATAACTTCTTCATGAGTGGATGGGGTAGTCAACACATTTTTTGTCCTATAATGGTCCATTTCGTTTTGATAGTACTTTTTGCTTGGCAGGGAAACCGATTTTCCTGCCAAGGTTCACAAGTTCAGAGCAGGCATTTTTACAATTTAAAACTATAATTAAATTATAATTAAAACTTTCATATCACCTTATAGAATGGGATGTGGACATTTCAATAAGAGTAATATATGCAGCAACTTATATGCATTGTATAGCTTCTAAGTTACATCTTTACATGTTACTTATCTTGAGCAATACTATTACGTAGGTTAGCTGGTCTGGCTTCAAGCTATGAAATTCACAGTGCTCAGCTGTTCCCTACAGAGTAGGCAGAGCTGGCACCCAATATGAGAGCATCACATCTATGTCCCATGACAGACTGTGGAGAATCAGACCCAAAATGTAAGTTCCTTTAAAAAAATCTGTCTAAATTATGTACATCTGGCATTTTTGAGTAATTGCCAGTAAAACTTTTATCTGGTCTATTGTTTGAGAAGCATTTGTTATTGAAGATAATTTGCCATCTGCTCTTTGTTCTGAGAAAAAGCAGAATATATTTGTCAATAATAACCAGTTTAGAAATCCAAGCCCATAAGTCCTGTGTTTCAAGTAAGTGTTACAATTTAGGTGAAATAGCACCATTGTTTATAGCTCATTGTTTAACTTATTGGATTCCTACATCCTAAGAGGGGAAAACAGCCTTTCAAATGATACATACATACATATGATATCCAATATTTTGAATGACTGCAACATTTTTCCTTAGAAGATATTTTATTTGGTTATTAACTTGAAAGGACATGCAATTAAGTAACAACATTCATCTGCTACAAAGAAAGTTATGATGATACAACCAATGTGGTAAATATTCCCTTAGAAGTGTGGCAGAGTTAGAGCCATACATGGACATAAGTGTTGCGATATCTAGGTACCTAGACACTCAGTGGAATCCTCAAACCCTATATTAAGTGCTCGGACTCCCTATACAATGCATAGGGAAAGTTAAGCACTGAAGAATGGGATCCACAAAAGCAAGTGTGCTGAGCAGGGAGCCAAGTTGATGGGTGAGAAGATAACTATAAATTATGAACTTGTGTTTGTTGCATGTTATCAACTAAATGGTCCCTTTCTGAAGTCTGTCTGACAAGGAACATTTCCTCTGTCTCTTAAAAACAAGCTGAAGTATTTAATATGTTATATTAGATGTTTAACTTTTAGGCTGAAGCTATTTTCAACTTCTGATGTTGAAGAGACTTAAAATAACTTCTTGCTTTAATTTATTCTATTAAAGGCTTCATATAAAATGTACTTTGACTAAATAGGACATATATTTTCATTTTGTCGTCACTCACCATTACATTTATTTTTAGTTGTGCATATATAGATATATTTAGCTTGCTTCCCAATGTTCGCTTCTCTCTTGACAAGGTACAGTATAAACAATGTATACCTGCAATCTGTTTTAAATGAGAAATATGATGATATAAACTAGTCAAGACCCACTTCTATCCATGGGAAAGCAATATAAAATTCGATGCTGTAATGCTGCTTTGTTAGGATTGATATTTTATTGATTTTTCATTAAGTTGTGCATTATGAGTTTTCTGTAATTCAAGTCCTGATTTTTGTTTTTTATATTGCTGCTGTAGTTGTCACGCGGAAAATAATTTTCCCCATCTCTATCTTCAGTGTGGATTGTTCTTAAATATAACTAAAATGGCTGAATTAACTTTGTAATGTCCTACCATTTATATTAACTTATAAAAGAAAAACGTGATATCTGCTAAGAAATCAATCTGTCTGATGGCCTGCTTGATAGCAAAGATGAATAATCACCTGTTTGGGACTGACCTCCACATACCAAACCACGCTCCAGGAAGACTTTAGTAGTCATTCATCTATGAGACACTTCTGATATGGGCCTTCCCTGAAATCAGACAGAAGCATTTACAAACATGGAAGGTTACCTCCTTGGTAATTAACAATCCCCAAGGCAGAATTGTTTAGTTATCTGCCATAGAGGCACTTAGTCATGGTGACCTGACTTCCAGGTAAAACTGAACAGTATCTACCCTGAAGTACCACAGCTGATGAATGCCTTCATGGCAGACAAGAACAGATACGTATCTGTCTGAGAAATACTCCCTTGTGGGTAACTTGCCTGCTACACAGTTTTTTAAACAGTAACTCACCTAGGATTTATCATCTTCCTGAAAGAGTACAGCTACAGGTTCTGATTAATAAAATGTGTTGTCAAATTACTATGACTGAGCAATCAAAGAACTATTTTTCTTCCATGGAAGGAAAGATAAAAATATGTAATAACAGTACAAACTGACACATCAAATCTTCTGTGGGAGAAAAATGCTAAGATTTCATGTGCAAATCTGAGTTAAAAAATGTTGGGACAGATTAATCACATTACTCCTCCCAGTTTTATACTTTGTATATCTTACTGTTTTTATTTCTTTTCAAAATCTAGAAAAATATATTACTCCATTATTTCCATGTCTTCATTTCCCATTAGTAATTCCAGTTAGAATATAGCAGCGTCTCATAGAAATAGCAAGCTTGATTCCTCCTCTGTTATACCAATTTTACATTAAATAAATTCAGCCACCTTCAGTGAAATCACACATCCGTCGTAAATAATTTTTTTTTGTGGGCAGAGAAGTTTAAAAGTTTTGTCTTTAAACAAAATATCATGGTAAAAATTTAAATATTAACCAATTAAACTACAATTGGCCAAAATTAAGGTGGATGCATAACTGGTTGAATAACCATTCTCAAAGAAGGACAATGTAGCACTTTAAAGACTAACAAGATGGTTTATTAGATGATGAGCTTTCGTGGGCCAGACCCACTTCCTCAGGAAGTGGGTCTGGCCCACGAAAGCTCATCATCTAATAAACCATCTTGTTAGTCTTTAAAGTGCTACATTGTCCTGCATTTTGCTTCAGCTACCCCAGAATAACACGGCTACATTTCTATCACTATTCTACATTCTCAAAGAGTAGCTATCAATGGTTCACAATCATGCTGCAAGGGTAAAACAAGTGCGATTCTGCAGGGATCCGTTTTTGATCCATGTAGATCAGGGTTTCCCAACCTATGGGTGAAGACCCAAATATGGGTCACCATTACATTTCAAAAGGGTCACCAATTGTCTCCCCAGGTGGTGCTCTTAAGGAGCCATTCACACATTTGAAAAGGTCCCCACTGGTCAGCACCATAACTGGCTTATTCTTAAGGAGCCCTTCACCTGAAATGGTACTCAACTTAGTTGGTTTAATAACCTTCAGGCAGTTAAGCCAATCAATTCAATTGAATACCATTTCAGTGACTCAGAGTAGAATGAGGTACATTTGAAAAGGTCCCCACTGGTCAGCACCATAACTGGCTTATTCTTAAGGAGCCCTTCACCTGAAATGGTACTCAACTTAGTTGGTTTAATAACCTTCAGGCAGTTAAGCCAATCAATTCAATTGAATACCATTTCAGTGACTCAGAGTAGAATGAGGTAGGGGTCTCCAACCTTTTTAAGCATGAGATCACTTTTTGAATTTAAGTGCAATCCAGGATCTCTCTCAAACCCAAATACCCAGCCCCACCTCCTTGATGCCCCTTCTCCGAGGTCCTCCCCCTGCTCACTCCATCCTCCCATTCTCCCTCCCTTTCACCAGACAGGGGCAGAGGGTTGGGGCACACTCTCTGGTCTTGGGCTAAGGGATATGGAGTGTGAGGTAGGGAGCCTGGGGTAGGGAGCTGGGGTGCAGGAGGGGGTTCAGGTGCAGGCTATGTAATGGAGTTTGGGTCTGGGGGGGCTCAGGGCTAGGGCAGAGATTTGGGTTGTAGGAGGGGGTACATGACTGAGGCAGGGGTTCGGAGTTGGCTCCAGCTTGTGGAAGAAAACAAGCCTTCACTCTGTGTTCTGTTTAAGCAACAAGTAGCCAGAGGCAGTTTTTATTACGAGCTGCAGCAAAGGAAAAACTGGTTCGGACGGGGGGGAGCCCCCCCTTCCGAGGCAGATCTTCAAATACAAGCAATTATGAAGCAGTTTATATACTGTCTATTAAATATAATAACAATTAGTCTCCTTCCCATTACAAACACCAATGGCTAACAGTTATTTAGTTCCACCCAGATGCTCCTTATCTCAAGGTCTCTGCCAGAGTCAGCATTCTATCCTTATCTCCGTATGGAGGCGAGAGGTGAAGGCAGCGTCTAATTACAGATCTCACGTTGTCAGGCCACAGACTTAGCCTGACTCTTGCTCTCTTGTTAACAAGACCAAGATGGCTGCACACAAATTCCCTTATTCCCTTTTCCTGCCTCCACAAGCTGGACACTGTTTACCACAGGTGGCTCCTGGGTACTGGTGCAGTGGGGCTAAGGAAGGCTCACTTCTGCCCTGGCCCTGTACCACTCTCAAAAGCAGCCAGCAAACTCCTTCCAGGCAAAGGGTAGAAGGTGTGCATCAGTGGGGGGAGGGGCAGCTGAAGTACCTGCACTTGATAGCCTCTTAGCCAAAGCCGTCGGGATCACCTGTCAGAGGCTCCAAGATCTACCAGTGGATCCAAAGCTACTGGTTGGTGAGCACCTGAGTAAGGAAATATCCCTGGACATGGGGGGAAAGAAGTTAGAATGCTAGGGAACACAGAGAAGAAGCAGCACCCACTGAGGGGCCAGGTGTCTGGGCGTCCAGTTGAGAGGTTTCCAGCTGCCCCGGCCAGGGTTCCTGCGGCTGGCATTGGTCAGCCAGGGCAGAGTCCTGGCTGGCTTGCAGCCATGGGGGCTGGGGTGGGGGCTGGGACTGTGTTCAGGAGCTTGGGGGGGAGAGGCTGGAACCGTGCTGGAGGGGTGCCACAACAATTCCAAGCATACAACAGTTAGCAAAGGAAATTGAAGCTCAACTATCCGTTCAGGTGAAACTGTTTGGTAAAATACTGACTTTTATTTGTTTTTTTGAATATTGTATATTATGTTTCTAATATTTTTGTAAGACCTGTGAGACTTCTAGGCCCAGAATGTGCCCCTCAGGCCCTGATTCCCAGCCCCTGAGTATGTGACTCACAGCCCCTCCAGCCCCTGAGCATGACTCCTACAGCCTCTGAGTGTGGGGTTTAAGCCAGGGGGGAGGAGGAGCAGTTTGGGGATGAGTGTCTTTCCCCCACCACAACTCAAATAAATGTAGTGTTATTATTACATTATTAATATATTTTCAGTTTTTCTATGAAATAACTACTATGAACATATAAACAGGAAGGGGCACAATTTTATACTCTTGTTTCAGGCACAAAATTAGCTAGTTACGGCACTACCCTCTCTCCTCCACCCCAATTTTTTAATTGCCTTGGGTCACCAAGTCTTCCTGAATTGTCAAAATGGGTCCCCATCTGGAAAAGGTTGGGAACCGCTGACATAGAAGTACCGTATTTTCCGGCGTATAAGACGACTTTTGATGTTAAAAAACATCCCCCAAAAATCGGGGGTCGTCTTATACGCCGGGTATGCGGCTTTGCAAAGCCTCGGGGGAAGCCGGCGGCGGGGCATCCTTTGCAAAGCCCCTTCCCAGCCCCTCCTGAGAAGGTTAGTTTTTTTAGTATTTATAACAGTTTTTATTTAATGACTAATGTAATATCAAAAAACATAATTAGTAGGCCAGAAGAAATCTAGCCAGATGTCATTTTGTAGTACTAATCAATTAATATCATTTTAATATAACTGAATTTTCCAGTCCCGCGCTTCTGAGGCATTGCCACAGCAAAGCCGGGGAGGCACGGCACTCCGCTGCCGCTTTGCTCCCGGTGCCTCTGGTCTGCTGGGGACTGTCTCCAGCAGACCAGGGACACCGGGAGCAAAGCCAGAGAGGTGGAGGGGCGCTGGGGTATAAGACGAAACCCTATCTTTTAACTAAAAAATTAGGGGGTCGTCTTATACGCCCAGTAGCCTTATACGCTGGAAAATATGGTACAATTTAGCTGAGCTTCTATTACGTAGTTTAATCCTACAGACTGTAGTAAGTTTCCATTATGATCCTGAATGGGTGTGTCTTGGCTGAAATTATGTGACAAATATTCCTGTCTCAGCTGTGGAACAAATTTTTAGCATAACAGAAAGACAAGGCCTTATGGTCAAAATGGTGCCTTACTGGTCCTGTTTTAGGCATTTAAAGGAAATTATTACACAACGCTGACAATAGGCAAGACAGCACATTCCTGCAGGTACAATATGCTTTATAAAATGTATTCCCTATGGTAAAAAGGACTGAAACCTCCATTCCAGAAAATCGTGATATTCTGAATTTTATTTTCATTCTGAACAAAATCAAATACCCAGCAAAATTGAAGTTTTCTGAGAAACAAAGTTTTTGAAAACAAGTTTTGTGTTGATTAGAATGTTCTGTTTCAATAAAAATTTAAATATCTTTCCAATTTTTAGTTTTGGAAAAATTGAAAACTAAAAAAAAAACCCTGGAAACAAAAAGGCATTTTGACAAGAAAACTCAGGAGACAGAATTCAAATATTGTTTAAATGGAACATTTTGGTATCTTTCAAATGTTTTCATCTAATTTTTCTGACTGACAGCAGGGACTAAAACCCATTTCCCAGGTGAGTGCCCTAACAACTGCACCATCAGCTATCCTGAGGTGAGTCTCTGTATTTCAATGAAAAAAATTAAAAATATCTCAGTTTCACTCTGCAGCGGAATGAAAACAAATGACAAAAACCTGAGCATATTTTGTGCAGCAGATTTCTTGTGTTCCAGCCAAACCTACTATTGTAGATATCCTGTTACCTCTTCTGTAGCTCACATCTCCCTGCCTCCTTTAGTGTTGCCCACATACCAGCATCTCCCTCTGTCTCATCACAGAAGATGTCTGCTCTCAGATCTCACTTCTTCCACAAAGCCCCAAATAGGATCTT